TTAATACATTTTAATCTATATTTCATGTGGATGCAAACACAGACTAAAGAATACATTTGCCAAGAAGACTAGGCAGTGCTGACACCCAATGTCAACATTACAAATGACGTGGTGAGACTATAGACACTATACCCTCATGATGACTTTTTACAGGTTATGGGTGTCATTACTGTTTGAGATTCTTCAATGACTTGTACAGAGGCAATGCACATCTCTTGTAGCAGCAGGAGAAGTTCTGCGCAAGGTCTATCCTCTGTGAAGTATTTTGCTTTTAGATAGTTGTGCTTGGGACGCACTCACTCCTGGTCTTCTAAAAAAAGCAGTAACTGGTGGATTTAAAACATGGTCTACCAGAGAGCATAGGTAGTGTTGGACTTTTAATATTAGAAAGCCCAGCTTGAGCTGCATTTACAATGTCTTGAATACATCCGTAAAATTAATATTTTATGCAAAAATTAAAAACAATATAAAACATGTTTATTGACATATAAATAAAAAAGAGTGGTCAATTCTCTTCCATCGTCTCAGTCCCAGTCATTATACTTTTATTACTGTTCCTTTATTAAGTGCACAGATGACAGCACTGAGATAACATTTTAGAGGTTGTGAACAAAATCCTTTTTTACTTGCTGAAAAGAATTTGGTGTAATTCAGTGTTTGGAAAAAAATGATTTATTATACATTAATCCAGTCCAACCATAGGTGCCTTTCTAATCAGTCTTACTGTACAGATATCAATTCTTCTCACAGGGGGATTACATTTGCCCAGAGGAATACTATAGGAAACATCCTTAGTTCTCCCTCAGGCCAGATGTTGTGTTAGAGCATCTTACATCTTCATAAGGGAGTACAATTTTATCCCACGGGGAAATAAGGACAGGCAGATCTTCACTGTCCGTCAGCTGCTGACAGACCGCCTCTCACCTTCAAACATCATCTTAGTAAAATACGCTAACCGCAATAATCGCAAGTCCTACTACTTTCAGCTTTAGCAGTCCATTAAGACTTCTTGAATACTTTTTTGTCATGTTTGTCATGCACCTTCACAAGTAAGGCCAAGAGCAGTGTGAATGGCATCAGGAATAAGCCCAATAATATTTATTCAATTTTAATTAAATAGACATTTACAAGTTGGGTGCTCTAAAGCCCACTTGGTGCTGATAGATTCCTTTGTCATGGGAGTCACACCCAGCACATTCCTTTTCAATGTTTGCTTTAAAAAAAATGTTCTGAAAACACTGCAGTGGAAATCTATCACTTCTATTTCAAAGAGATAAAGCAAGTCACGAGAAGATATGCTGCAGAAAGAAACAACACACTCCATTAGTTTAGTGTTCCTGCTGGGACTCATCTTATCAGCCCAGGACCGGCCTGCTCTGATGTGATGGCAGGCTAGGAATAAATGAACTAGAGAATGACATTAATAAAAGCACCTGTAAAAATACCAGCTAAATGGTACGCGTCAGCCAATGCCCCCTCTTTCTTAACCACCATACATCTTTAAAGAGAAAGACCCTCTAATGAAAAATTTAAATCATTGAAACACCACCCAACCTGATGTCTCTGGCCTTTAATTAGTTTATGAGGGGAAGGGCTACAAAATAACTTTTTAGCAACATAAATGTAATGAACAAGATACATTACATTTTTCATTACGATTTGATTTAGCTGTAAGAGAATTTCCAGTATTAAACACATTCTACGCAATTCTCCTATTGGTGTGTCAAAACCAGAGGAACAAGGAGGGAGTCACAGGGCTCAGCAAATGGCTCATTCTCTATGCTAGAAAGGCTTGGCTGACACTGAAACTGTCTAGCTCAGGGGTAGCCAAAAAATTTCTAAAGGAAAGGGATAAGGATATGTTACTCGCTTGTTTACTCATTTGTATAACTCTGACACTCTCACCATAGCAATTTAAGGTAAATATTGAAGCATTGGAATCAGGCTCTTCTTCAATCTCATAATATATACCATCTTATGCAAGTTGCTTTTTTACTTTTGATTGGTCCAGCAAAGTTATCTCTAATGCTGGGAATATTACATCAAGGTGGTTTTTAGGGATGCTAAAAATCTTAGTTGTATTCATTCTAGATACTACTGGCAGCTTTGATCTTCCTAGCGCTACTGCTGTGAGTTCCGGCTAGTGCACAATTTAGAAGTGCATTGCGTGCTCTTCCCCTTCCTCCCCCTCATCCATTCATGAAATGTTGTGTATTTTATTCACAGAGTACAAGGCATTCTGTGATTGGACAAGTGGAGAGGACAGCCACATTGACCTCCTTGACCAGCCACATAACACCATGTATAATGTGAAAAGAATACAAAAGAATATAAGAAGTTTTATCAATGGATTGGCGGGGGTGGAGGAGGGAGAGAAAGTGACGCTCTTCTAGACTGCACCCCAGCCAGAACTCACAACAGTAACACATGGAATATCAAAGCTGCCAGTAGGATTTGAAAGAAGATTTTTAGCATCCCAAACAACTGTTTGGATGTAGTATATACAGCATTAGAACTAACTTCTCTGAACCAATCAAAACTAAAAAAAATCAAATCCTGAAGTTCAGCATTACATTACACATACACTTTTGAGTGATATTATTCATTACAACATTAATTCACAAAACCAACAACCTATTTCTAAGTGACTGCTAAACACTTGGGAGCATATTTATAAAGCAGTGAATGTGACTTTCACCAAACATTTACTGGTGATGAATCAATCACTGTCATTTAAAAAAACATGCAGAGATAGATCCACCCGTAGGGATTTCACTGCTTTATTAATGCACCACTAAGTTTTGCTTTCCATTTTCATCATAAAATGAGGTGTGGAAAAACCATCTTTTGTCCCATTACATCTGATATTTCATGGACACCTATGAGTCCATTCTAGAAGACTACATGAAATGACGTGTATAAACTGCTGTAAGTAAGGCAGCACTTCTCCTGATGGTGGCTACACAGTGATTTTATATTAGGATACCAAATCTACTGGCTACTGGGGCCTTTAATTTGGTCATTACTAAAACTATTTCATATTATGCAGGAGGTACAGTATGTATGAATGTAAGCGGAAGTCAGTTAGGATCTGTCAACGGCTTGTGTTAGTGTCAGAACTGTTTCTCTCCCCATAGAAATGTAATGCAAATGCAAAATTATCTCGAAGCAGGTTGATGTAGTTTAGAAGGAAAGAAAAATGCACCTACAGTATATAAAACCGATCCTGAAGCAAGCTGCAAGCACCTGAAAGAAATATGGTTGTCCCCATGCACACATTTAATTATAAACTATATGCAGAAAGAAGATTTGTAAAACATGAACACAAACAGATAAGCTGATCTTATATATATACATATGTAGTGTAATGTAAATGGGTAAGCCGTATTAGTCCAGTAGGGGATCATACTCATGCACATCTGCTAACGTGGTGTACATGATACAGTGTTCAGCATGTGACAAAGGTTGTTACATTGGGGAAACTGGCCTTAAGCTGCGGCTCAGGATGAACCTACACAGGAGCTCGATCAAGAACCACAAAGAAAATGAATATTGCAGTCCAGTAGGACCTCACTTCTCCCAGAAGGATCACTCCATCCAAAACCTCAATATTAAAGTACTAAAAGGGAATTTTAAAAGCTCTCATGAAAGGAAAACATTTGAGATGAAAATTATTTTACATTTCAACGCCATAAAGGAGGGACTTAATGTGGATTCTGGTTTTCTGACACACTACCACTTCTTCTTGTTTTAAGTGGTAAACTCTGTCATTTTGATTAGTATTGCTTCTGACCTGATGAAGAGAGGTTAACTCTCGAAAGCTTGTCTTTTAAATATTATGTTAGTCTAATAAGAAAAGTATCATTGCACACTGCAATACTCATTTTATTTTTTCTTGTTTTTTCACATAACATATATACATAAACATATATATATTGTGAGGTACTGGCTGGCAGGATTGTGAATGGTGTATATGTGTCACCTAGGTTTCAGAACATTAAAAGGGAACATTAAACATAAAAGAGGAAGTTATAGTCCTTTGCAAAAAAATAAATGGAAATTGCACATAGCTTAGTGAATGAGATAAAGCTTTGTTGACTTCGATCATCCAGTCATGTGCAGTCAAAAATAGTTTTTTTTTTTAATTTTCCACACGTAATTGAGTATTCTTTACAAAGTGAATTTTCACATTCACTACTCTATTGGAAAATTCTCTTGCAAAGTAAAAATGACCTTGAAAGGTGAACTGCCTATTTTCCTTTGGTAAATCAACAGTATCTCTATTTCTTAATATATGTTGTACAAGTTCACAATCTGGAAGACTTTCTTTTTAACATTCTATGTACATGGCTTGATGGCAGATGAAACAGTTTGAGTATAAGAAAGAAGAGGCAAAATATGAAAAACACATTTATTTAAATAAAACAAACATACATGGTGTACAATGAAAATGGTTACATATAACATACAAATGAATTTGACCAAGAACACACACTCAAATGCTGGAAAATACATCAGAACATCGCAGTGGAAACAAATGAAACACATGCAAATAGGGTATGAAAGGGAAGCCATTCATTCCCAACACTATTACAAAAAGATTGGAAAAAGATGCATATGACTAAAAAAAATTATATGAAATGCCAAAGCCAGATTTTGAAAACTGATGGCACCAACTCCAAAGACCAGCTGGAGTTTGCAGCCATTTTCAACCAGCTGGCTCTACTAACGATTTCAAATGGTATATAAAAGTAATAAAACAAACCTTTGGAATCAAAATATCATAAAAACACCCACTGTCAGCAAAATACACATAAATACGTACACTTCACAACTCATCCTTCCACTCTGTGTCACAACCAGTCTTCCCTGCATAGGTCTGTGTGACGAAAAATAATACCACGTGGCTAATTTGACATGTCATATTCTTGTTACTTAATCAAGTTTTCTTTTGGCTAATTATATCTGCTATTTTGGCATATTATTTGCAAGGTTTCAACTACACGATTCTAATGTGGTTCAGGGTATGTAAAGAAATAAGCATATATATTTAATGGAAACCAGAATTGAAATGTATAGAACAGCTGGTGCTTTTCACCATCATTTATACAAATAAATAGGATGACATTATTTACAATGAATTTGTGTATCATTTGGTCATATTCCCAAGAATTTGCACAAACTGGGTTCATTCCAATGGCATAAGAGCGCTTGTGCAATTGAAATGCTCGAGCCAGAACTGATTACATTCCGTGCTTAGAATGCATGTGAGCATCTTTCAGCAAAACATTTTACCTGTATTACAATACCCCTGCCTTAAATATTACAGAATCACAACCTGACAATCATGGGCTTTGGTAGTTAAAGAAGGTTAAGTGCTGGCATACCATCACCATGCATATCACTTTGCTTCTAATTCGTGTTATTACAATCTGCAGTCCTAATTTTGTCCTACGAATGTGGGCTGTGCAAGTTGTGCTTTCCTTAGTTCTTTTGGCAAATCACTGTCCTTAACCTGATCTAGTGTATGAGGAATATCCCAGTTCGCACTATGATATTGATTTGTCCATTCTGTGCTTTGTCACGGACAATATGTGCCATTGTTAATGCTTAAATGCACTCAATTGTTAAGTTTGCCGTATGTCCCTTCTGGAGGTCTGTAGTACTTTGGAAATGTCAGCAGTTGTATCATGTTGAAAGCATACTTTCTGCATTTGATATTCTTCAGCACATTCTCTATGCGGCATCCTTCTCTGGGAAGAGGAAAAGAAAGCACTTCATGAGACAGGATGTACAGAAATAGCTTTTATTTATTCATTGCTGTGTTGCAGTATTTAAGTAAAAATAACAAGGATTCAACTATACATTTTTTCTCAAGTGATGATACATCTTACATTTTAAAATCCAAAGGCCAGACACATGTAATAAACGCCTTCAGAACTGCCACCAGCTGCACTTAAAAGCCACATGACCTTGGCTACCTCCCTTACTGTGTGGGCTTATTCAATAGGATACGAAGGGAAATCATGTGCAGTAGCCCATAGCAACCCAACTGTGATTTTTCCTAGCTTTAAGAAGTCCAAAAGAGAGCCAATTTCTAATTGGTTGCTAGGGGCTGCTACAATTTGGGAGAAAATAAAGCATAATGCATGCGTGTAACCAACTTCATTCTCAGCTTCAAATGAGTGCTAAAATTAACACAGTCAATAGTTTGTATTTACAGGCAATATCATTTTTATTTAACAAGAGAAAAAATAAGATTAGTACAACCATTTGCAGTCTACTGCAAGCAGAAAGGGGTCTCAATAGTGTCAGTACGTAAACAGGAGAAACATACTACTGCTTTGAACTTGTTAAACATTTAACCTGCATTAGATTGCTGTAAGAGCAGGTAGTATGCTTCAGGGTTACGGTGTCCAGAGCAATGAGCAGGATTGTCCTTTGGTTACCAGAGTCCTAAAACTGGCACTCTCAGCAGACTGATATCAAAGGGAAAAAGTATTCAATAATGCGTTTGACCATTCTCATGTAGACATCAATATTTAACCCAACATGAATCTGCATGCACATACTTTAGTGGATCAGTGAGTCCACTGGCCTGTTCAGTTTCAGATTCACTGATCCACAGACAAATCACTGCCCTCTAAGCGGTGCTAAATATATAGCATTTATAACCATATTGCAGTTTAAAGTTGAAATGGTCTGGTATATATTGCACCACACTGTAAAATGAGCCCCATTGGTTTTTCAATGCATTGTGACTGCTAAAAGTATACTCATACTATCACAATAATAAATATAATCCTCTATACCAAACCTCTGTGTCTCTTACACAAATATAAGGCATTTATTGAATCTGGCCATAAAGATTTATAGATAAAATTCAACTTCTATTTTATATCAGTTCTTTCAATTCTTATATGTATAATTCAACTGTAATAGTAATAGGTTACTATTATTTTCTTTTAACAAAAAAACGTTATTTTACAAAGAGTAGTGCATATTGACATAAAGTACAAAAATTGTTTGCACTTTCCTAGATCAATGTTTTCACGGGAGAGAGAGACGAGTAGGATCGAGGAAATATAAAAGTGCCAGAACAGTAAACTAAAACAAAGTGATACAAATATGTTAAGTTGGTCACAAAACAGAAGAGAACTTTGTCAAAATGACACCTAAGTCATTAAAAATTCAAACCATTACATAGCTAGAATAAGTAGGGTTGATGAGACATACTGGCAACATAAGTTTAAGCTAAAAAGAACACGCTTAGCCCTTAAAAAATCTTTAAAAGCATGTTGCCTAAACCACTGGAGGAGGCCACTTTAGGTTTTCATTGAATCTGCAGCTTGTGAAATGTGCCTCTGCTACATGCTTCTCCCCATACAATGGAGTACTGTTGTTTCTTAAACATGTGATAGTAAGCCCATCACAACCTTTCCTATTATGCGATTGTCAAGTATAGCTCACTTGCCACTATGCCCCAAATTCTAGTCTTAAAGAATTAATATGGAATTCCACCTTTTAACATGGAAATGGCTAACAAAGGTCTTCTTGCACTTGTTTTAAAGAGAAAAGTTAGCTGCTATAAAGATTTGCAGCTGTATGCAGAAACCCTTTTAAATAGTTTTCATTAAATGCAGAAGTCACCTAGAACATTATGTAGAGCTCTACTTTGGGGTATGTTATGGTTAGTTGTGGTAAAAAAAAGGTTACGTTTTTTACTGTTTTCGTGACATCATCTACTACTAATAGACTAATAATATGGTTCTGCTTCCTTATAAAACAAAGACTGCAAATACTTCAACATGTATTTAGCCCAACAACTGACTACTGTCACTGGGATTACATGGCAGCAATAATTCATAAAAGCTCTTATAAAAATAGACAACATTTCAGCAATGTTTGAAAAAGAAAGGTGTATTTTGATAGAAGAAGAAAAATTAGCAGTCATCTTTATGAGGCAAAGAATTCTGTTTCTGATGTAGGCAGATACAGCGTGCAATCTGATGGTTTTGTACTGATGGGGTGGTCATAATAATCTGGCCACTCAGCGTGTGTATATATATATAAACGCACACTTTTACACTTTTAGGACATTTAAAACATCATTGGTTTTATTTCATGGGTTCTACCCCTGTATATTTCTTGGACATACTGAACATTGTACAATGTCTTGTAATTTACACGGATCTAGTAAGCTCAAGCTTTTGGGCTGCTTTATTGAAAAATAAATAAACAAATATCAATGTGGAATTTTAATACACTCAATAATATTGGTAACAGAGGAGAGGGATCCTTGATAGTATCAGCTATCCCCACTATATGCCCCCATTTACTGAATCTGTAAGCTGGATCCTGTAAACTGTCCGACCGCACCTTTTGAAAAGTCAATGGAGCTGGCTTTGGCTAGGATCCTAGAGATGTGGCTATAATCCAGACCACAATCATTATCCATTTTGTTAGTAGATGGAGAGTTTTAGATAAAGGTGCTCTTTAACCTGTGGATCAAGTTAGTATAATTTCCCCAGTGGTCTGTCGTAAGATGACTGTGATGTACATAGCATGTGTTCTCAGAACTTTTGGACATCTTGCAGGTGTTCTTATCAAATTGACCCTGCTGAGGATACTGAATTGAATTTAAAGCTGTTTCCTGCAAAGAAGAATGTAAATACTTACCTACGCTGCTGCCCCTGTTGCTGAATGTCACTGAGGAATCAACCCCTGAAGTCTGACGTAGATCAGCATGGGGGAACTAGTGAGAACTACAGGGGACATAGGAAATCAACACTCCAGAAAGTGTCAGTTTCCCAGCAGGTTTCAGAGGAGGGCTTCTCAGTAATGGAGCCCCATTTAGCAGTGCACGTGCAGCAGGAAAGGTAAGTATTTACATTCATTTTTGCAGGTTACGTTTAACTTTGGCAACAGGGTTGCTTTAAGTAAACTTTAAGTTGAACACAGCCTTGTTTTCTTCAATAAAAGAGCATTGTGCTGATCTTACCAGGATCAATATATTGACAAAGTTTTCAACTAGCAAGCAAAGGAATGCAAATAAGTCCTATAACCAAAATGAGGCACACAAAATGTCAATTATACTGTCTTCCTCCAGTCTTTTGAGCAGATATGACAATGTTTTTCCAATATACTGCTATAACTCCATATATGTGGAAAAAATGCAAGAAAAAATGGATTATAGTTGAAAGGGCACATTATTGAGGTTAGAGTACATAGAATCATAAATATATTTTACCAACTAAAGGACATTGCTCTTGATAAAATGAACAGGAGATTAAGTGCATATTATTGATATTTGGCTAATAGCAATGCAAGACTGAGGATAAGCCACACAACCAACAAGTGTGAGCTGACAAGTAGCAGAGCAACAGGATAGAAGTGGCGGGAGGTTGGCTTGTTATCTGTTACACAGCCTTTCTCTGGATCATCCGACTCATTCAGAATTCCCTGGGCTTGGCCGCTGTTAGACAGGAGAAGTTAGGAACAAACAGAATAGTGTTACAGCAGAGTTAGTACATGGATTTCAAGCAAGCCAGAACAAAAACACAATAACATGCAAAGGGTAGAGAACAAAAAGGAATTTGTTTGCTACAGACAGCTTTCTACGCAGACAAACTTTTATAGAAACTGGAAGCAAGTCAAAAGGTAGAAAACTAGTTGAAAGAAGAAGGAATGATGTGAACTCATGTACCTATAGTTTTTTTTTTTTTTACCTATAGAGCAAAAAAAGTGAATTGCAAGCATCATAGTTAACTATTGTGCATCATGTGTATTGCTGTCACTTGAGGTGATAGAAGACTATTGGCTGTTTGTCCCTAATTAACTATTTGGATATATACTTTCCAATTATCAGAAAATATGAACAGAGATAAGCTGAGTAATGCATCTTAGGCAGTCACGGTGGACCACCCAACATAAACATTAGAACATGCAGGATTCAGATGAAGGTATATCATCTGAAATCCATTCCATTCAGATCCCAAAGTTTCATACACACTTGTTATGATTCCAGGCTGTATTATTGAATGAATGAAGAAATGAAGAAATGTTATTCTTTACTAATTCATGCAGTAGCATTTAGATTTCAGGATGTGAGTTTAAAAAACTATATCTCTGACATCATGGGAAAAGTACCACCAAAGGAAAGGTATTGAGTTCTTATCAGAGCAACTGTCCTGAGTGTTTCTTTTTTTTTTTAACATGTTTATTCATTTATATAAAGGTGACATTATTGTCGGAGATTTACAGAACACAGTGGGGGGAATTTATCAAAGCAATTGCAACAGTTGTAGCCGCTTAGATCATTTTTTTAAGGCCAGGTTCACACCTAGGCGATTCAGATGCTGAGCTGTTTTCGCGCGATTGTCACGTGTTTTTGATCACGCGACTGTTCATTGAAAACCATGCGGTTGTCGCGCGGTTTTCAATGCATAGAGATGTCTATGGGACCCAAACCGTGCGACAGCCGCCCGAAAATAGCTCCTGCACCTTTTTGCGCGACTGGCGATTTCCTTCGCGCAAAAAAACCGCAAAGGTGTGAACCGCCTCCATTGGCTTCAATGCGAATCTGTGTTTTGCGCGATATCGCGTGACTCAAACTGCGCGATAATTCGCCTAGGTGTGCACTGGACCTTATGTGCAAATCTGTCTTAACATGTGCCCCTGTTTTCACCTGCACTTGCACTACTTTTCCAACTGCGCATGTTTTGCACCTGTTTTGACCAGAGCTTGCACTACT